GAGAGATGGTGCTGGGATCCCTGGGTGGCGCAGCGGTTTGGCGCCTGCCTTTGGCCCAGGGCGCGATCCTGGAGACCCGGGATCGAATCCCTCGTCGGGCTCCCGGTGCATGGAGCCTGCTTCTCCCTCAGCCTGTATCTCTGCCTCTCTCTCTCTCTCTGTCTCTCTCTCTCTCTCTATCATAAATAAATAAAAATTGAAAAAAAAATTAAAAAAAAAAGATGGTGCTAAATTCCCTTCCCATGAGCATGGGCTGGATTTAGCGACACCTTTCTAGAAAATAGAATATGGCAGCCATGATGGAATGTCACTTCTGAGGTTAGGTTATAAAAAGATGTGGCTTCAAGCTTGGGTGCATGTGTACTCTTTTTCTTTGTCTTTAAATTACTCATTCTAAGGAAGTCACCTCCCATTAGACATTCAAGAAACCTCTAGAGAGGCCCTTGCGGTGAGGAAATGAATCTTGACAACAACCGCATGAGTGAATAAACAGATTCTTCAGCTGCAGCCAATAGATGGATTGCAACTTCACAGACACCCTGACCCAGAATCATCCAGCTGATCGGCTCCCAGATTTCTGACCCACAGAAACTGTGAGGTAATAAGTATATGTTGCTTTCGCTTGCTCAGTTTTGGGGGTTGTTTGTTCTGAAGAAATAAGAACTAATACATTATACAAGGAAGAAACCGCTGTTCTCAGAATTTTCTGCAACCATACTTCATTCCTGAAGATAGCAAAAATCTACAAAGTTTAGGGGGGAGGAAAGCTCAAGACTTTTAGAGCTAGCTGAATTGTTCATGGATGTAGGTAACAGGCAGACGTTCTCTAGCATGTAAACACTCAGGACAGACAGCAACCATGATCCTTTTTTGGAAAAAAAAGAATTACTTGGAATAATTCAAAACCAACAATGAAGAAGTGATTACAATTCTAAAATTCAGGAATACAAAAATAAAAATAAAAATAAAAAAATAAAATTCAGGAATACAGAAAAGAGGGCAAGAAGATCAATACTTAACATCAAATCCACTTAAATAAAAAAGATTGAGTTGTGAGAGGTAGAGCTACCACATAGAATACAAATGTCATAAAGCCCAACAACATAAAAATAATATCATTCATAGATTTCATGGGCAAGAAGGCAGAGAGGTAGCAGAGAATGTAAGTGCTTCCATTTCTTCATTTTTCGTACCAGTCAGTAAAAACATACAGTTGAAAGTAGGAACTTGTTAGAAATTAATGACCTGTATGTTCATGATCATTCTTCTTTAAAGGGATCTTTGAGAAACTAATGCCTTCTCTGAAAAAAAAATTCTGGAAATATCTGAAAAAATAATTCCTAAAAAAAATTTAGCTTTTTAAAAAATTCTTGTTTACATTTTACCTTAAAATTAACATAACAATCATTAAAAAATTATCTCTCTATATATACTTCTACGTGTTTAAGTGTTTACAGAGATATCTGGAATGATGGTCATGACACATTACAAATAATTTTTTTACTCTACTTTGGTATGATTCTTTTTTTTTTTTTATGATAGTCACACAGAGAGAGGCAGAGACATAGGCAGAGGGAGAAGCAGGCTCCATGCACCGGGAGCCCGACGTGGGATTCGATCCCAGGTCTCCAGGATCATGCCCTGGGCCAAAGGCAGGCGCCAAACCGCTGCGCCACCCAGGGATCCCTACTTTGGTATGATTCTTATCGTTTATTTTTGTTTTGTTCTTTTTACTTTTATGTGTTGCTTGAATTTTTTTTTGTGGGGGAAAAGCATATATTATTTTAACAAAGTTAAAATTAAAAAAAGAAATAAGGGAGAAATAGAAGAATTAAATGTATCAGTTAAGGAATAGGAAAAAATGAAAAATGAACTCCTATAAAACAGAAGTAAAAGCAGGGAATTAATAAACAAAAAAGTGAATTTAATTTATAAAATTAAAAAAATTTTTTTAAAGATTTATTTATTTATTTTTATTTGTGATAGAGAGAGAGAAAGAAGCAGAGACACAGGAGGAGGGAGAAGCAGGCCCCATGCCGGGAGCCCGACGCGGGACTCAATCCCGGGACCCCAGGATTGCGCCCCGGGCCAAAGGCAGGCACCAAACCACTGAGCCACCCAGGGATCCCAACTTTCTTTTTTTTTAAATAGAAACCATAAATACCAAACTCCTATTTATTTAATCCATAAGTCTGAGATTTCCTTCCTATTTTAAGAAATAATCTTCTAAAAAATAATTTATATGTTATACTTATCCAATATTTGAACTTACTTGTACTTAAAAGTTTATATTCATTGCCTTCATGTCATTATTTACTCCAAGTTTTTGCTATAGGCTTTATCTTGAATGTGTAAGACCATTCACCGTGCATAGAAGTCCCTGTATTCCTCTGGTAATTCAGCCAGTGTTTTTAAAGCTCTGTCCAAAATTTGTGCAGCTCTTGATGCTGCTGTAGGATCTTTGTTTCCATAGGTATCTGTTTTATCATAGCATTCAGATGGAAGGTGCTTCCAAAAGACATTCACTCTCACTCCAAACTTCAGAAATTACGTTATGGAACCATAAAGCAGGAGTGAATAATACATCTCTAGCTTTAAGGGAACATTCATACCTTCTAGCCTTGGAAAACAGTGGATATTTAGCTAAGTTTGGGTTATCTATATCCAGGACTTCTGATTTAGTACCTGATAAATATAAAGACTGGGCATCTCAAGGACTGAATAGTACAACATGCTTTTTTCCTGTCACTTGTATTAAGAAGTTATCCATTACATCATGGTGGGTCCAAAGCTGTAATCCTGGCAAGCTAATTCGAAAAACACTGGAAAAGAATTGCTCCTCTCCGAAAAATTTTGGAAACTTGATATCTCCTTCCAGTAAAGGAAACTGCTTTCTGATATCTGCAACATCATTTCTAGGGTCTTCTCCAAGTGACCGTAAGTAGTACTTCTCATTCTTTGAAATAAAGAATTCTTCATGCTTTTCTTCAGCTGCCCTCTGAACCAACTTATCAAAAGGTAAAGTTCTGCAGGTAGAGCTGCTGCATAAACTGATCCTGCAAAACGCCCTCAAGCTGGGGTACTGGGAGATGCTGCCAGGCGATGGTTTCTCACCAATTTAAAACTTTCTTTGAAAAAGATAAGTAAAACAGACAACATTACAGCAAAATTAAGAGGTAGAGAGAAGGCACTAATAATTTACATTAAATAGGAAGAAGAAAGAGATATCCCTCTTGGTGTTTTGTTTCTTCCTCATCTTTTCTTGTTGACCTCAAAAATAAAACTGCTAGTTATTTTATCAGCAAAAATGGGCTTATTTGGGAATAGCAGAGAATTACAGTTTGGGATAATCAAGCTATAGACAAAACCATTGGCAAGTCCCTAGAACAAAAGGCGAGGGCTGAGGCTAATGGCTCTTCACTGGCTGAGCTATGACAGCTTCTCACTGTCTGGCTGCTGTTGGGGCAGGAGGAGGAAAACCTTTCTTTCTTCTGCTGGGATATTAAAGTAGTGGCTAAAGCAGTAATGGACTTGCATGATACCTGGTTGGGTCTGCAATGGAATACCAGTGGTTGGGCACTGGAGCTCCCCTACTGGCCTCCTCACTCCATTGTAGTGAGGCTTCCCTTGATGAATTTCCATACTCCACACTTTAATCTTTGCTCAGGCTGACAGGGCAGCCAGCTGTTTCCTGCCTGAAATCATTCTTTGTTTTCCTTTTCTTCCCGGAGAGTCTCGGAACAGTAAGGCAACTGGGTCTTAGCCATCTGGTCCCTGCTCACTTCATCAGCATGAATTTTCACCTTAGCTCTGCCCACGTATGGATCCTCCAGCATTTCCCCAAAAAGCCTGGGCTGTGCCTGCTTCCGTGTGTCAGTTGGCCTGCCTCCCCCGTCTGGATCCTATTCCAACTCATTGTCTGGGCAACCTACTCTTCAGTTCACCGGATTCAGCTAAAGTATATTCCTCTCTTTAGAATGACTTCCCCATGTGTGCCCCCCATTTCTGACACCTTTCTCTAAAATGTTCTGAGGACAGACATTGCCATCCACTTCCTCATTCCCTAACACAGAGAAGAGCCCTAAATATTCAGTAGATGCTTGGGGAGCAAAGGAGTGAAATAGCTACACAGCTCCTGGGCAGGAGGCATGGCAGCCCCTGAGTGGGGTGGTCTATGCCCCATCTCCCTGATTTAGGGCTCTCTGGATGAATAGGGAGGGAAGGAAAGGGATTTGAGGCCCAGCCTGTTACACGGGGACAAGAGGGGAAACAAATGATGGTCATATATGCACTGGCAATTTGTGACATGCTTGATTCATTCATTCATTCATTCATTCATTCATTCATTCATTCATGTGTCTACTGCAAGCAAAGTGCAGCAATGGGCTCTGGGGATAGAGCCATGAGCTAGAGTGCTGAGGTCCTTTCCTTATGGAGCTTACATGCTGGTGGTGGCGACAGGGGAGGGGGCACAGGCAACAAAGGAGTACGGTTTCCTGGTTGTAACTATGGAATATAATCACAAATAATAACAAATATGTAATGAAGGAACTAGAAATATGTACAGTGTGATGGAGCATACAGGAGGCTACTTCACTGTCAATGGACACTAAATGTTCTGTATGAGGCTACCATTTAAGCCAAGGCTGTTGACAAGAGGGAACTAGATTGGCTGAGAGAGGAGAACACACTAGGCTGAGGAGGCAGAAAATGCAAAGACCCTAAGGCAGAAATGGATTTGACATACCTGAGGCCCAGGGAGAAAGCCACTGCGGCCAAAGCACCATGAGCCAAGGCAGTGTTGGGCGACGACACCTGACAGGGACCAGGAAAGCCTGCTGGGATTCATTCTTTGAGGTTTCATTCATTCATTGCAGTGCATGGGGCTGTAGGCCACAGTGACCAAGTTCAGCCCTGAGATCTTCCACCCACTCAAATGATAAATACTGGATTCCTGTTCTGGTACAGAGGTGCCTCCAGAATTCTGCATAGTAGGGACTATGGGGTACCAAGCTAGGAAACTTACCTTAAAACTGTGTTGTGGGGCACCTGGATGGTTCAGTTGGTTGAGCATCCAACTCTTGATTTTGGCTCAGTCATGATCTCAGAGTCGTGGGACTGAGCCCTGCATCGGGCCTCAAGCTCAGTGCAGGGTCTGCCCGAGATTCTCTCCCTCTGCCCCTCCCTACCCCTGCTTGTGCTCTCTCTAAATAAAGAAATAACATCTTTTTAAAAAACTGTGTTGCAATAGGAAACATGGTATTTTTATTTAGTTGTGAAATATAAAGGGAAAAAAAAATACCCATCTTGGCCAACAGACACATGAAAAGATGTTCAGCGGGACGCCTGGGTGGCTCAGTGGTTGAGGCGTGATCCTGGGGTCCTGGGATCGAGTCCTGAATTGCGCTCTCCACAGGGAGCCTGCTTCTCCTTCTGCCTGTGTCTCTGCCTCTGTGTCTCTCATGAATAAATGAATAAAATCTTAAAAAAAAAAAGATGCTCATCATCACTTTTCATGAGGGAAACACAAATCAAAACCACAATGAGCTATCACCTCACACCTGTCCTAATGGCTAAAATCAACAACACAGAAACAACAGGTATTAATGAGGATATGGAGAAACAGCAACCCTTGTGCACTGTTGGTGGAAATGCAAACTGGGGATCCCTGAGTGGCGCAGCAGTTTGGCGCCTGCCTTTGGCCCAGGGTGCGATCCTGGAGATCCGGGATCGAATCCCACATCGGGCTCCCGGTGCATGGAGCCTGCTTCTCCCTCTGCCTGTGTCTCTGCCTCTCTCTCTCTCTGTGACTATCATAAATAAATAAATTTAAAAGAAATTAAAAAAAGGAAATGCAAACTGGTGCAGCCACTGCGGAAAAGAGTTTGGAGGTTCCTCAAAAAGTTAAAAATAGATCATAATGTATGATCCAGCAATCACACTACCCAAAGAATACAAAAACACTAATTCAAATGGATATATACACACCTATGTTTATAGCAGCATTATTTATGATAGCTATGGAAGCAGCCAGTGTCCACTGATTGATGAATGGGTAAAGAAGATGTGGTATACACACACAATAGAGTATTATTCAGCCATGAAAAGTCTGAAATCTGGCTATTTGCAACAATATGTATGGACCCAGAGGATATAATGCTAAGTGAAATAAGTCAGTCAGAGAGACATATATCATATGATCTCACTTATACGTGGAATCCAGGAAACACAACAAATGAACAAAGGAAAATAAGAGAGAGAGACAAGCCAAGAAACAGACTCCTTAGGGAACACACTGATAGCCCCCAGAGGAAAGGTGTGGGGATGGGCTAAATAGATGAACACAGGGAGTTTTTTTTTTTTTTCACAAGGTGGTTAATGGAAGTGTTGAACCACTATATCATACACCTGAAACTAATAGAACACTGTATATTGAGTAACTGGAATTAAAGAAGAAACTTAAAGTAAAAATAAATAAATAACCATCTTTCCTAAAGACGGCTTTATTCGTTCAGTCTTTTATAAAAGATTCCATTTATTTATTCATGTGGGACACACAGAGAGAGGCAGACTTCCCGGGGGGAGCCCAACGTGGGACTCCCTCCTAGGACCCCAGGATCACGCCCTGAGCCAAACAAAGGCAGGTGCTCAACCGCTGAGCCACCCAGGCATCTGTATTTATTCAGTCTTTAAGGAAGATTAAGACACCTGCGGTCACTGCGGGCGCTGGTGGAGATCACTAGGCATGGACAGTCCTCCGCAGGGGGCAGTCCCGGGCCGCCTCATGGAGGCTGCTCCCTCCCTCCCAGGACGTGTGCGCAGAAGGGAGAATAAGGACGCAGGTCCACACCCACCTTCCTGCGAAGGGCGGCGACCGCCCCAGCCTCCGCCCTCCGAGGCCAGGAACGGCCGGGGTCGCGGGGGCGGGGCGTCTCGGGGACGGGGCGGGGCGGGCGTCTCGGGGGCGGGGCGTCTCGTCTCGGGGGCGGGGCGTCTCGGGGACGAGGCGGGGCGGGCGTCTCGGGGGCGGGGCGTCTCGTCTCGGGGGCGGGGCGGGCGTCGCGAGGGTGGGGCGTCTCGTCTCGGGGGCGGGGCGGGCGTCTTGGGGGAGGGGCGTCTCATCTCGGGGGCGGGGCGTCGCGCGCGGCGCAGCGGCCGCCTGGCGGTGGGTACCGGGCCTGTTGGGTGTTGCTGCTCCGCCCACCAGGCCCGGTCCCGGCGCTGCCGCCCGCCTCTCGGTCCCTGGACTGGCCCGGCCAGGCCGGGAGCGACACCGAGGCCCTGGCGCAGCCGCCGCCGCCGCCGCCGCCGCCGCCGCCGCCGCCGCCGCCGCCGCCGCCGCCGCGTGCGCACACGTCGCCGGGGCCAGTGAAGGCGGGCGGAGGCCCCAACCGCCGCCTGGGCAGCGTCCGGGGCGCGCCGATGTCTTCGCCGCCAGGCCGCCGGGCCCGCCTGTGGTCCCCCGGGGCCGGCCGCTCGTCCGCGGCTCGCGAGGCGCTGCGGCGCCGCCTCCTGGGCCTTATCGAGGGCAACCGAGTGATGATCTTCAGCAAGAGCTACTGCCCGCACAGCACGCGGGTAGGCGGCGCGGGGCCGGCCGGGGGCCGGGGCGGGGGCGGGCGGGGGCGGGCGGGGGGCGGCCCGAGAGCTCCTCCCTCCTCGACGCTGGGGCGCGGGTGCGGCGGGTCCAGCCCCCCCGCGCGGCGGTGGGGCCGCGTCCGGGAGGGGTGACCCGGAACCCGGCCTGGCCCCGCTGCCCGGGCGGCCCCGCCGCTGCCCACCTCCTAGCTCCCCGCACTTGTTCTGGGGCCTCGGCCTTGGCTTAACCGCCGGGTCCTCCTTCCGGCTGTTAGCCGGACAGTGGCTTCTTGGGGAGTTTATTTGGAGAGATCAAAGGTATTTCCAGAAAGGCTTTGCCTGGTAGAAGGTTGGTGTGGGGGGCACCCGGGTGGCGCAGCGGTTCAGCGCCGCCTGCAGCCCGGGGCGTGATCCTGGAGACCGGGATCGAGGCCCTCATCGGGCTCCCCGCAGGGAGCCTGCTTCTCCCCCTGCCTGTGTCTCTACCTCTCTCTGTGTCTCTCATGAGTAAATAAATAAAATCTAAAAAGAAGAAGAAGAAGAAGAAGGATGGTGCGAGGAGAGGCCACGACTTGGGAGGAAACTGGAACGGGATTCAGATCCCACTTCCCAACTGAGCGACCTTGACGGGGTTACAGACCCCCGGGAGCGCTGGTTTCTCCATCTTGTAAAATGGACATAAGGAAGGGTGAGGGTGGCACCAGTGATGGGTGATTTCAGCTGTCTTGCACACTACCTTGACTCTGCGGGCCTAGCCGGGAGAACAGCATTATTTTTACAGACACATTCGTTCTTAGTGGAAACAGTAACCCAGTTAGAAACGAACCTTTGGAAGATGAGCCCATCTGTATGATAGGGACTTTCACTATTTTGAACTATACATTATGGAAAGTTGAAATAACGATACATGGAATATGCAAAAACATAACCTTATCTGGTTAGGCTTGTCAAATTATAGGCTGTGTTTTTCGGACATATTTTCAAGTTTACATTGCCCTATACATTGTTTTAGAAAACATGTATGTCATGCATATACATCTTAAAGAATAATAAAACACCAGCATTTTGGAAACCTTGGATGCGTCTCCCACAACCTTGAAAAATAAAGCTGCCCATTATCTCACCAGCAAAATGAGTTTATTCAGGAATAGCAGAGAATTATAATCCAGGACAAGCAAACTACTATAAAACCAGAGGCAAAACCATAGGATGTCTGCTGAACAGAAGAGAGGGATGCTGTTTTATAGAGGAAGTGGGTGGTGGTGTTGGGAGGGCTGTTGTAAACAAAGAGTCCATTGGAGTAAACTGGGAGCTCCCAGCGTAATGGCTCTTCACTGGCTGTGTTATGACAGTCCCTTGTTGGCAGGGCTGTTCCCTGGGGGAGGAGAAAGCCATTCTCCTTTCTGCTGGGGTAGTGAAGTAGTATCTGAGCAAGGACCTTCTCTTCCTTGTTGGGTTTTGCAGTTGAAGAGCATGATAGGGCATGAGAGCTACCCCTGCTAAATCTCCCAGCTACATTTTAGTGAGGTTTTCCCTTATTAATATTCATGTTGCATACTCCTCCCTCCCCCCAGGTTTAACCACTATCCAAAATTCCTTGCTTTTCTTTACAGTTTTATCAGGTACATGTATGTCCTTAAATGATATTTTGTTCTTTTGGCTTGTTTTGGTACTTTATGTAAGTAGAATCATACATATGTATTATTTTGCATTTTTTCTCCTGAATTATGTTTTAGAGATTCACGCACGTTGGTATCTGTAGCTGTGGTTTGTTAATTTTCATACCTGTAATCGCTAGGATGACTCATAACACAGTTTATTGGTTGTGCTGTGTCTAGTATTTTGTATTTGAAAACAATACAGCTGTGCCTTTTCTTGCACATAACTTCCGGTGCATGTAAGTAACACTTATCTTAGAGGAGATTTCTTGAAGCTGAATTGCTGGGCCATAGAGGATGCATGATTTCTACATTACCTAAGTGATGCCAAGACTTTTTTCCAAGTGATTATACCAATTTACTCTCCCACTGGCAGTGCATAACAGTTCCTTTTGCTCTGCTTGCTTGCCAACAGTTGATACATTTAATTATTGCCATTCTGGCAGTTATGAAATAGTAGTTTACTGTGGCTTTAATTTTGCATTTCCCTGAGGAAGTTGAACATATTCTCTTGTGTTTATAGGTCCTTTGGCTTTCCTCATCTATGAAACGTTCACATCTTTTGCTTATTTCTCTATCACATTTTTATTTTTGTGCTGATTTGTAGGTGTTCTTTGTATAGTTTGTATACTAATCCTTGGAGATATATATATATATATATATATATATATATATCCCAAGTTTAATGTAGTTGAGTCTGTCACTTATTTATTCCTTTGATAGCTTGTGCTTTTTACATCACATTTAAGAAACTGTTTCTGTGGAGATACTCTCCTGTTTTAAGTCCTGAAAGTTTTAGATTGTGCTTTTCACACTCACCTTCTTTATTCCACCTGTACTTGATGCTGATGGTGTGAGTGCGGAGCCAGTTTTTTTTTTTTTTCTTTATAACTCATTAGTTACCTCTGCTTCATTTGTTGGAGAATCCATCCATTCTGTGCTACTGTGAATGCTCACTCATCAACCATCCAGTTCTTATATATGCATTGGTCTATTTCCAGGTGCTGCTTTCTTCTCCTTCCTCCTTCCTCCTCCTCCTCCTTCTTTTATCCTATGGAGCTTATAAAAGGGCCAAGAGATCAGGACTGTGCTTGTCTACTGCTATATTGCTGGAGCCTAGAACAGTGTCAGGCATGTAATGTGCACTGAATTAATAAATGGCCTTAGATCATTCTAGTTAAACCTTTGCTGATGCAGAAAATCTTAGAACAAATGATCCTCCACTCTGTGTTTTGTCAATACTTCCAATAATGTGGCCACTAGTTTCAGCCCCATTACATAATTGGACAGCTCCAATTATTAGAATTTTTTATTTTAAACTGAGGCAAAATTTGTCTCTCTGAAACATTTACTCAGTTTTGGAGTTGAGTGTTACTCCAGTGTGTAGAGTTAAGAATCCTGCTTCTTGGATGGCAGATCTTTTAGTATTTTCCCTTGTCTGGCCAAGTAGTCCACTTTATGTACTCATATCATCTATATGCACACATGATACTTCGTTAATTTGATTGTGTAATAGCTTGACTGAACCTTCCAGATGTATCACCCCAAATTGAACACCATATTCCACATCTGTCCTACCTGCACAGAGTCCAGTTGAGAGTTCTGTACCTTGACTGGGCCACTAATATCACTCAATAAGTGTTATGGGGGCCCAGTGTTGTGGGGACAAGAAAATGAATAAACTGTTGTCTTTCTTCCCAAGAACACATAGCCCAGTGAGCAGTAATCAACTAGCTGTCTTGTCCTGGAAGAAGTGCCTATAGAAGGCAAGGGCTATGGGAATGAGAGACAAAGATAATTGCTTCTGTGGGGGATCAGAAAATTTCCGGGTAAACTGTTTAAGTTGTTCCTTGAGGGATACATTGAATATCTATAGTTAAGAAAAAATCTAGCTAAGGAATTAGTATAAGCAAAACTAGGAGATGATGAAATGAAAATAGTGTGGCTGGACAGAGGAAATACAATAGAAATCAGGAGAGTGGGCAGCCCGGGTGGCTCAGCGGTTTAGCGCGCCTTAGGCCCAGGGCCTGATCCTGGAGACCCGGGATCGAGTCCCACATCAGGCTCCTTGCATGGAGCCTGCTTCTCCCTCTGCCTGTGTCTCTGCTTCTCTCTTTCCTCTCTGTGTATTCTCAGAAATAAATAAAATTTTTAAAAAATCAGGAGAGCAAATTGGAAAACAGCTGGAAATTTATTTTCAAAGTGGTATTGACAAGACTTTAAAATGCTCACTGGTAAGTGTGGACTTGATATAGGCAGAGTCATCTGAGACTTTTGAGAAGAGATGTGAAAGAAAAGTCTGTAATTTGAAATCTGGCAGTGGTGTGAAGATACAACTAAGTGTGGAGGGGGATCCCTGGGTGGCGCAGCGGTTTGGCGCCTGCCTTTGGCCCAAGGCGCGATCCTGGAGACCCGGGATCGAATCCCACATCGGGCTTCCGGTGCGTGGAGCCTGCTTCTCCCTCTGCCTGTGTCTCTGCCTCTCTCTCTCTCTCTCTATCATAAATAAATAAAAATTTTAAAAAAATAATTTCTGTTACCTTTCTTCATCTCCTTAACATAATTTTATTTAATTCTTTGAACATATTTGTCATGGCTGCTTTGTATAGTTACTATGACATGTGGGCCTTCTCAGAGGCTTTCTCTTGTCTGCTTTTCTTCTTGTCGATGGATCCACTTTCCTGTTTCTTTGAAGTGCCTAGTAGTTGTTTTTTTTTTTTTTTTTAGAACCAGGACATTTTAGGTGGGATATTAGAGCAATTCCAGATACTGACTCCTCCCTCTCTGTGGCTTTCTTTTTTTATGATTAAAAAAATTTATTAGAGAGGGAGAGCTCAGAAGGAGAGGCAGACTCCCCACTGAGCAGAGAGCAGGATGTGAGGCTCTATCCCAGGACCTTGACATCATGACCTGAGCCAAAGGCAGATGGTTAACCAGTGGGGAGCCACCTAGGCACCCCACTGCAGCTTGTTTTTGTTTGCTGGTTTATTTCTCTACAGTAAGTTGGCAGGATTATCTTAGGGAAGTTTATTTCCACTGAAAGATGGAGCCTCTGATGTCACTTCTCAGAGTGTGCCCTCTTGGATATGTGCACAGTCACCCTGGAGTGAGAGACATTTTAGCAGGGCTCTAGTTGAACTATATTATGCTTTTCTTTGTCTTTTTCCTTTTTAATTTATTAACTTTTCATTTTAACTCCAGTTAGTTAGTATACAGTGTTTTTTAGTTTCAGATGTACGACACAGTGATTCAGCAATTCCATACAGTCTTGGAACAGGTGCAGTCCTTAATCCCCATCACCTGATTTGTGTTAGGTTTTCTGTCTCTTGGTATCATACCCAGATGTTAGGCCCTTCTGATTGAAGGCTAGTTGCTGTATTGTTTTTGACAATGTCCTGTGAATTGTGAAACAATTCACACCATACAGGGACTATTCTTAACGATCTCTGTCCCGGTTTCCTCTGGTAAACTTGCTGGCTTGCAGTTTAGCCTGGTTAACCTAAGGAAGCTACCAGCCTTCTCTGTTGCTTACCACCAAAATCTCCACTGTTTCCAAGAGTGCCTTTAGATTTGACCTTCCCCACAGTCTATTTCAAATACAGGCATTTCTTTTGGATAGAACTTGGGAGCTCTTTGATCTTCTAGTTTACCTCTTGCCCCTGGGCAAAATCTCTGAGACCTTGCTTCAGAGCCCGGGGTAGGCCAGTGACCTGGTTCTCTTGGAGTGCCAACCCTGCTTTATGAACAGGGCTCTGGGTGGGGACTGTGACCTCTTGTCTTCTTGGCTTACCTCTCTCCGCCTGAACCCTCGCTCTATAATGGTTTCAGCCTGGGGTAGAGCCTTTGCTCTGTGATTGGGGGTTGGGTGGAAGAAGGGAGGAAAGGAGCCCCATGTCATTAGCCACACTCTCCAGGAAGGTAGCCTTTGCCACGCAGAGCTCTGGGGAGACTGAGAAGTACTGGTGGCCTGCCTCTTCTGGTGCCGGCAACTGCAGGGCTTAGGGAGCCTCGTTTTCTTGTCCACACTCACCTAGGTGGCACTCCTATCAAGCTGTCCGAGGGCAGAGGAGGGAGGAACAGGAACACTTTGTTCTTAGTGCCATCTACCAGATCTTCTAGACTAAACGTTTCATTTGCTGTGTGCCCTTTGGACAATTCCCAGAGACTTTAAATGGCTGGGTTTTTTGTTTTCTTTCTTTAATAATCTTCACCAGTTGTGGGTGTCTCACCAGGGAGCAGATGTGCCAGGCCCCCAGTGTCTCCATCTTGGAAGAGAAACAACCAGCTTTATCTTGAGGGCTGAGGGCCCTGGAAGGTGTTAAGTAATGATGATGAGTAGGTCATAAAACACCTCTCTGTGGTTGTGATTTAGAGAACTGGATGTTTACTTTGGACACGTTTATGCCCCTTTTTCATAACTGTCGAATTTTTGTGAGAGTAAAACCCCAGGTAAATTTCTGTTACAGGTTAAGGAACTGTTTTCTTCTCTGGGAGTTGCATGTAATATCTTGGAACTGGATCAAATTGGTAAGTAGAAAGGGTAGGTAGTGTATACTTTTGTTGTAATAAACGTCAACAAGATTGACTACTTCCTATTTGCTTTGTTCAATTCAGTTTTCTCCTGTCTCTTTGGGTTGGGTGAGTTGTTTTTGTCTACATTCACCCAGGCAGAAAATAGAACTCTCTATGGCAAATAATTTGGTGTAGATTTTTTTATTTATATACTTTTCATATTTGAGAGACATTAGCAGGAAGAAGATGTATAAACTGCTAACCCTGAAGTATTTCAGGCATTTCATGTGTATCTGCCAACTTTCTGGCAAAATAGATGAAGTTGTATTAGTTGAAAAGAAGCTACTGCGTTTCCTCATTGTATTATGCAGGAGGGGAAACACATTAATTTTTTACTTTATACTTTTTGATTTTTGTCATCATGTGTCCACCCATCTAATGTTAACCAACCATTTTACACACACATGTGATCTGCAAGGGTGCGAACAGGGTGGTGAACAGAAAAGAGTTTGATCTTTGCCTTCACCAGACTTCACCAACTCCTTTTAGCCTTGTATCCTAAACAAGCAAAATGTTCTTAAATCTTTGAGACTGCTACAGTGTATACCAAATAGGGCAGTCTTAAGTAGTCGTGGCCTTGTTATATTTTTAGGGGTAGAGGAGACATTTTGGACTACGGATCATAAAGAGTTTTCAAATGTAATTGTAGGAAGTATTTTCTGAGTTATTACAGTTGAAGCAGTTTTATCCCGATATTTGCTCTTTAAAGAGGATTTTTACTTTTTGTCTTGGCATGGCCATTGAATGATATATCAAAATCTAATTTAGAAGGGTTCGTTTTAAATGAATTTGTAGATTTGTCTTTATCCTTTTAGGTTGCCTTTGAAAACGGGCATTTCCCCTTCTTGAGTAATCATTTCATGAAGTTATATAATATGTAAATACCGATCCTTATGGGTGTGTGCATGTGAGCATCTGGTGTTGTAACACTTCTGTTCAACTCCCAGAAGTTTCGAACCCTTTTGATGTTCTTATACATTTAAGTCTTTATTCTTCAGATGATGGAGCCAATGTCCAGGAAGTACTGTCAGAAATCACTAATCAGAGAACTGTACCCAATATTTTTGTGAATAAAGTGCATATGGGTGGATGTGACCGAACTTTCCAGGTAATAATATGTTTTTAACGCCATTTGTTCAAGTTTGTTTTTAAATTTGCCTGAAGGGGGAGAAAATGACTGTTAAAAAGGAGTCTATTCACTTGTCTTTTGGAAGTTGAAAAAGCAGAGGATGGTTATCAGATAATCTTGAAAGTGGTAATAGGGCAGCCCAGCGGGGGCTCAGTGGGGGTTGCTCAGCGGTTTAGCACCGCCTTCAGCCCAGGGCGTGATCCTGGGGACCATGGATCCTGGGTCCCATGTTGGGCTCCCTGCGTGGAGCCTGCTTCTCCCTCTGCCTCTGCCTCTGCCTCTGCCTCTGCCTCTGTCTCTGCCTCTCTCTCTCTCTCTCTCTCTCTCTCTCTCTGTCTCTCATGAATAAATAAATAAAATCTTTTAAAAAAAGCGGTAATAGGGATCCCTGGGTGGTGCAGCGGTTTGGCGCCTGCCTTTGGCCCGGGGCGCGATCCTGGAGACCCGGGATCGAATCCCACGTCGTGGGCTCCCGGGGCATGGAGCCTGCTTCTCCCTCTGCCTATGTCTCTGCCTGTGTGTGTGTGTGTGTGTGTGTGTGTGTGTGTGACTATCATAAATAAATAAATAAAAATTTAAAAAAAATGGTAATAGATAAAATTGATGTTCCTTCTTAAGTTAGGTCCTTGTTTTATAACTACTTCCTTTTACTAAAATTCTGTTCCCTTGTATTTTTTTATGTATGTGTGTAAATGGTAGTAATCAGTGATTTAATACTTATATTTGAGTCTTTAACTTAAGATTATGTTTTCTTGGGAAAATAGATTGTCTGGATTTATGTTTATCTGTGATCAACATCGTTATTTATTAGCAGCCTGCTTCATTAGTTCCAGAAGCTACACCCTAGCTCACGTGGTGGTATGTACCATAATTAGAGGCCTGTAAACACCTCAGGAAATGCTGGTCTTACCATTCCTAACCTGGAAAAGAAGTCAGAAAAGATGCAGAGTTACCAATTCCATTTCATAGTGCACGACAGATGCTTAGGAGACATATTTTCCTAAGGGCACCTAAGAGTAAGGAGCCCAAAGGGATCCTAGAAAGACTGTGCCAGAAGCCTCCATGGGCATGCATCCTTCTGGGGCCACCTAGCATGTGCTGAGTCCAACAGTTATATAGTGTTCCCACTCTGCTCTCCAGGATGAGCTAGTGCCACATGGTGTTTCCAAAGCCAGCTTCATGGGATAGAGCACCCATCTTAACATAAAGAAACTATTGCTACATCATGTATTGAATGCCTAAACTTGCCTGAGTTACATCTGATCATAAAGGGGGCCAAGTGCGCAGGAGACTATTGTGCAGAGTGGCTTTCTGACCATTCCTGAAAGAAAAAGGAAAATTTTGTGTTGTATAAGGAAGTTTACCAGGAAGCTGCAAAATTTAGGTCAGTTTATGAGAAACCATGTAAAATTTGATGTGCATGTCCAGCTGATGATGCATATGAACTGATTTCAAAATAAAGCCTGGCACAGGTGAGCAAAAGACAGAGGATCTTGAAAAATGGTACTTGGCTATTATACTCAGTTAACATATTTTGATGATAAGACCAAGGAAAATGGCCTCGTCGGACATAGAAACTGTGACCTGTGGGTCATTTGACACATATCTAGCCATCAGGTGATAATGAACAAAAATATATGTACTTAGCATACATTGTATCTGTCGGGACCCTATCTAAATACCATCTAGATAAATTTACAATCCAAACTTAGATGAATTAGGGACTGTTTCTAAGAGTTTTAGAAAAGCTATTACCATGGGCTGATTCAACGTCAGGTACAAAGAAACAGATTAAAAACAGGTCATGCCTTCGTCTCTCCTTTGATCCATAGGCCCATCAGAGTGGCTTATTACAGAAGCTCCTTCAGGAAGATTCAGCATACGATTATGACCTCATTGTCATTGGGGGCGGTTCTGGTGGCCTTGCATGTGCTCAGGTATGAAAATAATGAAACCCAGAGATGATTTTCCTGGTGATTGCCATGAGTGCTTCTATAGCTACTTTAAAAAAGCGAATTTGGTGTTACGGACCAAGCTTTTATCGTATTAATAAAGAGAAGGGACTGTGTTCTTGCACAGTAGTTTCCTTTCAGGGAGAGAAAAATGGGGGGGTTGTCAGGAAAATGACAAAATCTTTATATGTAGCTTTTTTTTGTAGGAAGCTGCCATCTTGGGAAAGAAGGTTATGGTGCTAGATTTTGTAGTCCCATCGCCTCAAGGCACATCCTGGGGTAAGCAGTTTTTCTTTGTTATGACTCTTCCTTTTCTGCTCTTTAGACTTCTTTGGCTTTCCTCAATTTTGTTAATCCTCACTGTAGTCTCAAAGGGTGTAGCAAGCCTGTGTCTAGGTGAGGAAAGTCTCCATGAGGTCACATAACTGACCTAAGAGCGCATAGTTTACAGGCAGTGATTTGGGAAGATAACATAAAAATAATGGAGGAAGATTTTGCAAAAAGAAAAGATTCCATGACTCCCAGATCCTAACACTCATGCCATAATGATTGTTGCCCATGGGCGCCAATGTTTTCACTTAGTCGCAATCACAGAGTGTACCGTGTGGTGCTCACCTAAGTTTGCCACAACATGGTTTTGTGTTTCCGCGTCAGTTTCATAGCTGAGTCTTAACGGCTGCCTTGACTCAGTCAAGTCAGTGTGTGTGTGTGTGTGTGTGTGTGTGTGAGAGAGAGAGACATTGCCCAGGTCCAGTCACTAAAGTGCATGGGGAGCTTCCAGCTGTAGATGAGGACATTCACCTTAATAGAACACACAGATTTTGTGCTGGATGTTTCCTGTTGACGCGTCAAATCCATTCTTCATGTCTCTACCCTGCTCTATGCCCCAGAAAGCTGATGAATTGGCAGCCTTGCCCTCTAGCTTCCAGTTGGGCTCCACCAGTTAGTGGTCACAGGAGGAGAACCGAAGAAGGGAGGACAGTGGAGCTGGGGTCTTCATTCCCCCAGCTCCGTCCGTGCTGTCTCTACAGGCATGAAAGGCCACCCCTCCCCCACCCGTGGGCTGTGCCAATTGCTCACGTGGGGTCAGTGGTGGCCCACTCACTGTTTTGTCCCTCCTCGCTCTTCCTGCCCACACCCCTGTAATCACTTCTCTCTAACCTCTCCTCAGTTTCCCAGCTTGCTTCCTCAGTATCCTCTATTTCCTGCCAGAACACTGACAAAACATGAGAATCAAGTTTTAAAATTCAAATTTACTCAGAAAATTTTATCTTAGAATTTCATATGTGAAAGCTAACATTTCCTTCCAATATATGTTCCTTCTAACAATTGTATGTTGAACAATTCGTGTGTGTACCTGTCTTTGCTTTCTTCCTCTTTTTTCTTCTCCTGCCCTCTTCCCTCTTTCTCTCCTGTCTAGAAATATCCTACTTCTCTGGATTATCAGAAGAGAGACTGTGATCAATGCGGGAGTCTTTGGACTCCTACCCTGCACAGGAGCACTCGGACATGGCCTGTTTCATGCTGTTCGAGATTGAGAGTAGATGTCAGCAGGCAGCTTGCAGTGGACCTAATGTTGGCTCAGAGGAGGAGTCAGTTACAGAGAATAAAGGCTGGAAGCTGGGATTCCAGCCCTTGGTCTGGTATTTGTTTCATTAATCAAATGAAATTTTGGATTCTCTCCCTAGAAATCTTTTCAAGTGTACATCTGTATTTTTGCTCATCTTTGAGTTTCCTTCACAGACCTTCAGTTGAAAAGTTTGGCTTAATTATTTGCACGTTCTTGTGGGCTGTGATGTTGGCCTCACAACCATCTGATCGTGTCATTTCCACATGTTTAACAACACCTTCTCTACATGTGTGTAGAACCATGTATACACCCACAGACACAGGAAACATTACAACTGTTATCTTCTTTCTCAGGTCTTGGCGGTACTTGTGTAAATGTGGGTTGTATTCCTAAGAAGTTGATGCATCAAGCTGCCCTTTTGGGGCAGGCACTGAGGGATGCCAGGAAATTTGGCTGGGAGTACAGTCAACAAGGTAGGTAACAGTATATGGAAATACAGATTGGGCACCTGGGTGGCTCAGCCATTGAGCATCTGCCTTTGGCTCAGGTTGGGATCCTGGGATCCTGGGGTCGAGTCCCACATTGGGCTCTCCAGAGGGAGCCTGCTTCTCCCTCTGCCTGTGTCTCTGCCTTTTTCTCTGTGTCTCTCATGAATAAATAAATACAATCTAAAGAAAAAAAAAACCCCTACAAAACAGATTGGGAGGAAAGAAGAAAGAATGAGTTTCTTAGAGAAAGACTTACTATTTTTATTTCTGTAGTCGAGTCTGAAATTGGTTTAGTGAATGCTCACTAGGACCCCACTTTGGCACAGAGGAGTCAGTCACCTGAAACCTGGCCCTGCTCTCAAGGGCTTTAGTGTCTTTGGCAGCCACAGCTGTTCCAGACTCTTTATAGAACATGAGAGAGAATAATTCCTATCTTCAGATTTTCTTCACATGTAAAAAAAATAGAATAGCCAGGGTCATCATTTGAATTTTATTCATTATTAAAATAACATATTCTATTTTACTGGTGATTATATATGTCTTTGGTTAGTAAAAGATGGAAACCAAATTCATCCAATAAATATTTATTGGTTAGGCTCTGAAGATACAGATATGAGGAAAATACAGCCCCTGCCCTTAAGCAGCACACAGTCTGTTGGAAGAGAGGCAATTCTGTGCACTGTAATTCACAGTGAGGTTTTGAGCATTGCCTCAAGGAGCACTTAATGTATCCTTGGGAGTCCAACGTGGGAGGTGATCCTTGAGCTGAATCTTGAAGTCCATTGAAGACAGGAAGCAGTGTGCTCTGAACTCTTGAGCTGTGAGAAAACATGTAGTCTTTGGGGGCTAGCAAATGGCTGGTGTGGAGAATGGGGGTGGGATGCCGGAAGAAGCGAGATTACAGAAGCAGGTCGTGAAGGTTCTTAAATGCCATCAGAAGGAGTTATGGTTGGCCCCAGAGGGATAAGAGAGTCATTGAGGAGTGTCAGCAGGGAAAGGAGCCTGAACCACAGTTCAGATTCTGGATCCCTCTGGTGGCACCTAGGAGGTTAGAAGGTTGAAGGTGGGGAGGGGGCAGGTCCAAAGATAGGTGAGGTAGAGTGCTATCACCTAACCCAGAGGAGAAATGACCAGGCCAGGGCCAAGATTGAACTCTGACTGGAGAGTATGAGGTGGATTTAAAGGTTTTAAGACCTGGAATTGACAGGCTATAGATGTGGATGGGTGATTTTGTCTCTTTAGAATAACATATGTGGAATTTCTAAAAAACTTACAAAGACTTGTCTCCCCAGAGATTTTGAATGAGGACATGTGTACAAGAGCATATCCTTCCTGGTGATTTGGCCAGGCCCCCCAGGTCACAGGTGGGGTGGAGGGTGAAGGAAAGGAAGGAATCCAGGAAGAGGGACTGGGTACAATGCAGTGTATTTACTGAGCTGGAGGGCACACGCAGGTGGGAGTTAGTGGCCAGTTGTGGTGGAGTTCAGCATCATGAACTGTGGCTGGACAGATGTCCCCAGACACTCAGCTCCATGGAGAGATTCCAGTCCAGCTGTAGTACCAGCTGGCTGTAGATAAGATGAAGTCTTGGCACTTGGCAATTTAACTTCACTTTCAAGAATCCTCTCCCTGAATCCTTCATCTTGTATGGGTTTTACCCAGCAGAACATCCTGGTGGAGTTCACTCTCTGGGGATGGCTTGTGCTTGAGCGAGGTCTAGGCAGGGCTGGGGTGTTTGCAGCCCACATTGTAGGTGGTGGTTGAAGTCTTAGGAGTTGTTCAGAGGGGCTGGGGAGACCCTGTGGATGGAAGAGAAGACAAGACAGAGACAGGATCCTGAGAAATGTTAATCCTAAGAAATGGGTAAGGAAGATGAGGAAAACCCAGGAGAGTTGTCTCACAGAAGCCAGGAGGGCTTAAATTTTCAGGAATAAGCTTTAAGAAGTCTCAGAGAACTGTCTGGAGGGAAACGGTGCCAAAAAGCCAAAGGGGATAGGGTTTGAATTAGGTATATTTTGGATTGGCAGGTAGCTAAGGTGTCTCTCTCTCTGTCTCTTTTAAAGTATGTGTGTGGTTGTATGTATGTATTTACTTATTTATTTATGAGGTAGGGAGGGAGAGAGAGAGAGAGAGAACAAGCAGGAGAAGGAACAAAGGGAGAGGGACAAGCAGGTTCCACACTGAGCACCAAGCCAGATTCGGGCCTCGATCCCCTGACCCTGAGATCATGACTTGAGCTGAAATCAAGAGTCAGATGCTTAAATGACTGAGCCATCCAGGCGCCCAGAGGAGTCTCTTTTTAAAACTAAAAGCATTTATATCCACTTTTAATAAGTCTAAAATACTCGAGGCCAAGTTAGGAGAAAACACTGAATGTCCCATAAAGGAGAAAGGCCACAAAGAGTGGAACTGTACACGCAGCCTGGGATTGGGACAGCCAGGCAGGGGTGTGTGTGCGTGACTCCTCACAGGAGGGTTCCCCACAAGCTGACGACTTCTTGTTGTGTCAGCCATGCCTGTGCTCACTGCCCCACACTGCTGGGGCTCTGCATGTTCAGGGAGGGGGCAGCAGGCTGTATGCTCACACCACTTTGCCTCACCCGAGGGGCCAGGTGATGTTCTTAAACTCATCTATGTGCTCAGTATTCCTAAATACTTTCTCATTTCCTCCAGTAGGTAAAATCTTGTGTTAGATTCCTCAAATTTCTGTATATATGAAAGGCTTCTTAGTTAATTTTGAGGTGCTATACTAAGAAATACCTAGCTAGCCATCTCATAAAATTTGGGGCTGAGCAGGTTTTAGGCATAGGCTTCATGGAATGGCCGAGGGAAGCCCATAGAATCTAAGAGGTAAGAGAAAGGACCTGAAAGCATGTTGAAATCTTAGTCTGGGAGAATGTTCTAGATACTTCTGTTCTTGACATTGGTAGAGAAATAATAGATTAAAATAACTTTAAAATGTATATAGAATTTCCATATCAGAAATTAAATATAGAACACCTGGGTGGCTCAGTGGTTGAGCGTCTGCCTTTAGTTCAGATTGTGATCCTGGGATCCTGGAATCAAGCCTCACATTGGGCTCCTCACAGGGAGCCTGCTTCTCCCTCTGCCTGTGTCTCTGCCTCTCTCTGTGTGTCTCTCATGAATAATAAAACTAAAATCTTTTAAAGAAACAAATTAAATAGATGAGAAATTCTTAAATAGGTAGGAAAAGATATATCAGGGAAATGCAAACCAAAGCAATGGCAGTTAATACCAGGTAGGGAGACTGTAAGGCAAAAAAAACCCCACAAAAAAACAAAAATGAACACACACACACACACACACACACACACAAACACATTGAGGAATTAGTGATTTAGCACTCTCCCCAAAATAGGGGAGCCAGTTTATAAGGTGCCAATCCCTGGACTTGCCATGTCAGAATCTCCTGGGGGAGCTAGTCCTGACTCCATAGGTTTGTGACAGGTGCAAGGCTTTGTAGATTTCAGTCTGATTCCTAGGGGATCCCCATGTGCAGGATTTGGGAAACCCTGATGCAGAGTGTCTTTTACAATAAGAACCAGAAACAAAAGGACAAGTGAAGTATGAATTTAACTGACAAGGTCCCTGGGAGAAATGGTTCTTAGCAGGTTAGAGGAGTAGCTTTTCCAGATTAGAGAGGAGGAGATATCTTAGGATCTGAAGGCATGTGCCATGGGGAGAGGCTCATCACTGCTGGGTCATTACCTCCTGGGATTGTGGCAGGGGGGTTAGGAAATGTAGTGCAACCACAGTGACCCTCTGGGCTGCAAGATCTTAGGAGCCTTTCGTGTACACTGGCATCCTGGAGGGGGTAATGGGACATCCAGGCCACAAACTCAGTGCACTGTGACCTCTTATTCTCTCCTGCACTGTAACTTCCCATGTTCCTGATGAGTGCTGAGGCCTTTCTTCAGAGTGCTAGGTGGGATGGGTGATGGGTCACCGGTCACCAGATGTGACCAGAGAATGAACGCTCAGTTAGCTGGGTTTGCCTTTGGAATCTCATCCAGTATGATGGGAACCCTGGGCTGGCCTCTATGTCTTATAAACACGGTGCTGCATGGAGGCTGGTTTCTCCTTCAGGAAGCAGCAACATCAAACGAGGTGAATGCTTGGAAATCAGTCCCACCTAGAAAATACAGGGATGATGATGAATTGAATTCCATCACTTCCTCCTCCAATTGCAACAAGAAATGAGGAAACATTGTCATATAAATGCTGGGCTGTGGTGAGCAGTAACCACTCTTGTCAAGAAGTGTAGGATCTTCACTGTCATAAAACCACCACCAAGTGAACCGAAAAGGAATGGCCCATGCTGGTCTGGTCAGGTGCACATGTGGTGCTCACTGACCTGAGACCTGCTTCCCTCTGGAATGCCGTGTACAGCAGGCTTCACAGAGTGGGAGAGTGGCCTTGGGGTGCTTGCTCCTGAGTAGGGATGGTCTTCCTGCCTTGTGATGTTTTGGGCTGCTGTCCCCGTTGTTTGCTCCATGGATTTTTTTCCCTCTCTTTTCAGAATTCTACTTTTTGCTTAATGTTTTGTAATATAAAAGAGGAAGAAGTATAAAGCATAACTGGCTAAAAAAGATTTCAGTTGCTAATTGTCTTGTATTCACTTCTTGATTCTTAAAGCAATATATAGTATGGCTCACGTGTGGTTGTGTATGATGGAGCATTAAAAATAAAATTCATGAGTGCTCCTGGGAGGCTGAGTTGGTTAAGTGTCTGCCTTCAGTTTAGGTCATGATCAGAGGGTCCCCAGATCTAGCCCTGCATCTGACTCCCTGCCCCCCAGGGAGCCTGCTTCTCCCTCTCCCTGCCACTCCTGCTGTTTGTGCTCTTTGCCTCTCTGTCAAATAAATAAATAAGATCTTAAAATAAAATTCACTTTATTCCTTCACTCTGGTTATTTATTTTCAGTAAAGCACACCTGGGAGACTATGACAGAAGCGATTCAAAACCACATCGGCTCTCTAAACTGGGGCTACAGGCTGTCCCTGAGGGAGAAGGCCGTGGCCTATGTCAATTCCTATGGAGAATTTGTCGAACATCATAAAATAAAGGTAATGTTTGTTTTGTCTTGTTTCTTGCTTTTCTTTACTACTGCTTGAGCTTGCCTTGTTCTGAAATTCTGTATCACGTTATTATCACTGATGCATGCACACACATTGCCTTGCGTGCACCTACTTCTCCATTGTTGTTGATGCCACAGGTCCTGCTAAATTGAAGGAATTGCCTTTTAAAGAGCTCTTCATTTAAAGTTATTTGTCTTGGGTGGCTCAGCGGTTTAGCGCCTGCCTTTGGCCCAGGGCACGATCCTGGAGTCCCGGGATGGAGTCTGTCGTCGGGCTCCCGGCAGGGAGCCTGCTTCTCCCTCCTCCTGTGTCTCTGCCTCTCTCTTTCTCTCTCTATGTCTATCATAAATAAATAAATAAATCTTTTAAAAAAAAAGGGGGGGGGATCCCTGGGTGGCGCAGCGGTTTGGCCCCTGCCTTTGGCCCAGGGCGCAATCCTGGAGACCCGGGATCGAATCCCACATCGGGCTCCCGATGCATGGAGCCTGCTTCTCCCTCTGCCTGTGTCTCTGCCTCTCTCTCTCTCTCTCTCTGTGTGTGACTATCATAAATTAAAAAAAAAAAAAGAAAAGAAAGTTATTTGTCTTTTGATTTTATTACTACCTTAAAGGAAAATGTTTAGACTAGATAGTTTAACATTTCAAAGACTAAAAAGGGAAAAATTTAAAAAAAAAAGGGAAAAATTGTAGCAGTGTAATTGTTTTTTAAAATGAAACCTTGAGAGGGTTGGGCTAAATGGAATGAGTAGTCACAGGGATGAAAGGTACAGCCTGGGGAGTATAGTCAGTGGTGTTGTGGTAGCGTCGTGTGGGTGCAGATGGCAACTACACATGTGGTGAGCAGAATGTAACATAGAGACTTGTTGAATCACTGTGTTGTGCACCTGAAACTGATGGAACATTGTATGTCAACTGTACTTTGATAAAAAAAGAAAAGAATTTTAAAAATAAAAATAAAATGAAACCTTACCTAGAATTCCAATGTGTCATTCATAAGAGTATTAATAGAAGTGGTATGGAAATGAGTATATTCTTTAAGCTTTGTAATGTTTGCGTATTGTAAGAGCAATATGTCAGGAAAACGAGATTGTTTGATGAACACAACAATTGTATTTTTTAAATTTTTATTTATTTATGATAGTCACATACACACAGAGAGAGAGAGAGAGAGAGAGAGGCAGAGACATAGGCAGAGGGAGAAGCAGGCTCCATGCCCCGGGAGCCCGACGTGGGATTCGATCCTGGGTCTCCAGGATCGCGCCCTGGGCCAAAGGCAGGCGCTAAACCACTGTGCCACCAAGGGATCCCCGAACACAACAATTTTAAATTGGAATTATAAAAGACAATCAAATATAACTGTCAACACCTATTTATTTTTGAAATCGGCTTTCATAGCACAGTGTGCAATGATTTTGGGGAGATTTGAGGTTATTCTGTAGTCATTTACTATCTCTGGAAAGGTTTGAGGTGGTCTGTGGAAAGCTGCCCCTTTTGAAACTACATGTGGGCCAATCTGAATTACATTATTCACATGAAACATCATAGAGATACAAGTCAGGCAGTTTTATTTCTCAGATTGTGGTGTGGCCAGCACAGTTGAATAAGCCGGTCTTTGCAGCCATACCTGCCTCTTTTCTGCATTTCTGCGTTCAGTGATACCCAGTGTCTCCAGCTAGAAATCTCAGGCTTCTCCCTCCCAGCCCCACAGCCTTCCCTTGTTTGCCTCTTTCTGGACCCTTCTGAGCAGGTGCCTGTATCCAGGCTGCCCTCCCTCCATCCCATTATTTAAACAACCTCTTGTTTAAATGCCTTCATTGATATTTTAATTTTTTTAAATGAAAATGTATTTATGAATCACCTGTGTGATTGAAAATACACGAACAATGAATAATCTTTCCTGGTTCCCCATAGCCAAAATCTTTAGAATGGCATATAAAGGTGTTAACATTTGGTGCTAATCTGTTTCCCTTCACTGTGACACATCCCCACCTTCCTTGCCACTTTCTGGTCACTTGCCATTCCCCAGCACCTGCTGCTTTTAGGCCTGTGTGCTTTTCTATACCCTGTTCTCTCTGCAGGTTTTTTTTCATTCTTCTCAAATCATCTTGCTTTCTTGTCTCCACTTGCAATACCAGCACCTCTGAAGCTGTCCTCAGCTGGCTTTCCAGGCCCTATTCCACCTGCACTGGCCTCTTTTGGTTGATATTTTATAAAGACTTCTCTCTATGTTGGTGCTTATCATATTGCATTATTATTTTTGCACATCGCTCTTGTTGAGTGGGAAGCTCTGTAACTGGTTGTCCAGGGTGTCTGATACTCTACAGCATTTGCAGAAAAAGTTGAAATTTACTTTTCTCTTTTCAAGGCAACCAATAGAAAAGGACAGGAAACTTGCTATACTGCTGCAAAATTTGTCCTAGCGACAGGCCAAAGGCCACGGTATTTAGAAATCCAAGGAGATAAAGAGTACTGTATTACTAGGTAAGATTAAATGAGCTATTATAAGTTGTGTTATGTTTATGTGTCCAATTTATTTAGTCCCTGATATGATTTTGCAAAAGATTTGAATTGATGACAAATAAAAAGTGCAATGCAAGAAGCTAAGTGGTTAATGTAATGAAGCCCAGCAAAAATAAGGTTAGGTAAATAATAAGGTCAAATTCATGCACACATATATGCTGTCTGATTCTAGGTAATTGCTCAAGGAGGTCTGGGAAGTTGGCTCTAAACTTCATGGGAGGCCAAAGGAAAGAAGTAGAGTTTAGTGTCTATATGACAATGAACCAGTTGATCAGGAGAAACATAGCTGTTCTAATACTGAGATTTAATAATAATTATCCCTGAATGGTTATAGAGAGGACATTGTATAATGCAGCACAATGATTTTCAAACTTTCGTCACCAGATGTATGTTAAGAAATGCGTTTTTGTGACATGATTGTTCAGGTGAACACACACTCAAACCATATTTTTTCTTACCACATATAAGGTAGTTTAATATTTTCTATTACATTTTTAAAACACCTTCACTTGTGATCTACTAATTTGATTTTGAAAAAAAAAATGAGACATACTTCTTATTCTGTAGTGGACACTCTTACAAACTCCAAAGGCTCTTTCTGTTAATGTGTCTTCATTCAAACACCATGTTGCAATGCAGCCAACAAAAAAACCACTGTGCATCGAAATCTAAATGACTCATTTCATTTTTATTGCCTAGGTGTTCATTTTGTTGTTTTTATTTTCCAGTGATGACCTTTTTTCTCTGCCTTATTGCCCTGGCAAAACGTTAGTGGTGGGTGCATCTTACGTTGCTCTGGAATGTGCAGGATTTCTCGCTGGCATTGGCTTAGATGTCACGATTATGGTGCGTTCGATCCTTCTTCGTGGGTTTGATCAAGAGATGGCAGAGAAAGTGGGTTCCTACATGGAACAACATGGTGTTAAGTTCTTAAGAAAATTTGTACCCGTCTTGGTAAGTCGGAAAGGCGTTAGGAATTCCTTTTATTTTTAGTTTTTTACACTCTTTTTTAGTTTTTTATTCTAGCTCTCCTTATTTCATCTCATGAAAGTAATTGGTCTGTACTCAGTAGGACACCTTAAAGATAGAGCTTCCAGCTCCAGTCTATAAAACTGACCTTCCTGTGTCCCTCAGTCCTCCTCCTCCCACCCCCGAACCATGGGAAAGTGTCCTTACTCCTCTCAGGCTGTTCCATATGCTCTCACCTTCTCTCACTTTCTCAGGGACACCCTATCTTCAGTTAGAGCCATCCTTTCTGCTCTGTAATTCCCACTAGAGTCTCTCCTCTTTAAACAAATAAGCCTTCCCTTCCCCTCTCTGCCCTTTTGGCTGGGTCCGCATTATTCTTTTCCTGTTCATGAGGAAACTTCTAAACATGCTCCTTCTGGCTTCTAGCCTCCGTTTTCTACTTCAGCCAACTCTTGGCTGCTCCATCCCTGCTACTCCTTTGAAATTGCATTCCAGGGTCTTTGAAAACTCCATGCTGTCAAATCCAGTGGTCATATCTCTGTCCTTATGTAGTGGGGCTTCTGGGCAGCATTCAATGAAATTGGCTTTCTTTCCATTTGAATCATTCTCCTGTCTTGAGCTCCCCGGTCCCACATCCCCTCAACCTGTAAATGTCAGAGCACCTGCTCCCCCTTCTCTTCTTTGCACTTGTTACTGGCTGGTACCTTCTTTAGGCCCATATGTTATTTATCTAATGCTCGTGGCTCTCAGATCTGTATATCCTGCTCAGGCATCTCTCCTGAACTCCATACCCATTTATACATTTGGCTATGAGATATCTCTGTTGAATTCCTCATAAGCATTTCAGATTTATTAAGACAAAAATGAAATTTTTGATTTTCTTGCTAAATGTATTCCCCTGCTCATCTTTCTGGCCTATCTCAGTACTCAGTAAGTGGTATTATAGTCTATATGAATTATTGAGTCATCACCTGGAAAGCATCCCTCATTCGTCCTATTATGCTACCACCAACTAATCCATTAATTTATTTCTACCTCCAAATTATATCTTGTTACAGTCCCTTTTTCTCTATCTTTACTTAGCCAAAAAACCTATACACACACATGTGTACACCCTCTGACCCATTTATTTCCTGTCACCTGTAGATATCATCATTATGTTTTTTATCCCTACTAGGTTCAGCAGTTGGAGAAAGGTTCACCTGGAAAGCTGAAAGTAGTGGCTAAATCCACTGAAGGACCAGAAACTATTGAAGAAATATATAATACAGTAAGTTTTTATTTTATAAGCAGTAAGCGGTTGAACACACTCATAAACTAGCACAAATGAAGTTTATGGGAAAATTCTACCAGGCCTACCTTTTTTTATTTTGATTCTTTGTAAACCTATGATAAATATGGTAGGTAGTTGAGCCATTGACATTTAGTAGTTTTCAGTGTATATGAAAAATATTGTAAGGAAATATGTGTGTATGGGCAATTAATTATACATAGAACAAAATCTGGAATATACCAGATATACCCGACTGTTTTCAGTACTTACTTCCAGGGCATTAGATATCTTCTACATTGGGCATTAGAATATTTTCAATAAAAATGGAATATACCTTATAATCAAAAACAACATTAAAAATCTTATTGTCAAAAACAGTATAAAATCTGCAAACAATGTGAATAGTCCATGAACTCTATGGGGTGGCAACAGTTCTATTTTAAACTGATGATATTTAGATATCAGCATTTCTTTTATAAACTATAAAGATGCATTTATGTTTTATATACTGTTAGATGCATGATTGTTTTTAGTTAAAAAAAGGAATAATATGGGGAGGATCAACAAAGCCAAAAAATAAGAAAACAAAACAAATCAACCCCAGTTGGTATTTTTATTATGATTGCATTAGATATATTAATCAATTGGCAACTTTTTTTTTTTTTTTTATGATAGTCACACAGAGAGAGAGAGAGAGAGAGGCAGAGACACAGGCAGAGGGAGAAGCAGGCTCCATGCCCCGGGAACCTGATGTGGGATTCGATCCCGGGTCTCCAGGATCGCGCCCTGGGCCAAAGGCAGGCGCCAAACCGCTGCTCCACCCAGGGATCCCCATCAATTGGCAACTTTTTATTGCAATATTCAGTCTCCCAATCCGTGACTATGGATTATGCCCCTTAATTTAGGTTGTTCTTAATAATTCCTAACAAAGTTAATAAATTTCTTTATATGTAAATCAAGAACATCTTTTATTAGATTTATTCCTAGGTATTTAATGTATTTTTAGGTAGTCATAAATGATATATTTTTGGGAAAATGTCATTGTCTTTAACAATTTGTTGCTGGTGTATAGAAATGCTACCAATTTGTGTGTTTTGATTTAATATTCCATAATGTTGCTAAGCTCTTACTTGAGAATTTCTTATATTATTTTGAATTTTCTTTGTATGCCTTCATACTATTTGTGAATAACAGAAGTTTGTTTCCTCCTTTCTGCTTTTTTACTTTTTATTCCTTCCTTTTGCGTGTGTAAGTACACTAGCTGGGACCTCCATGAAATGGCAGTGGCAGACATTCTGGTCTTGTTCTCAGTATTGAAAGTTTTCAGTGTTTCATCATTAAACATCAGTGATTTTTTTTGCAGGGTTTTGTTAAATATTCTTAATTAAATTGAAGAATTTCTTTTTCTTGTTTGCCAAGGGTTGTTTGGTTACTTCTTTTTCATTTTTTAAAAATCATGAGTGGATATTTGATTGTAATGGTGTTTCTCTTATAGCTGTTGATCAAAATTTTTTTTCCTTAATCTGTTAATGAATGTGTTGAATTACATTGATTTTCTAATGTTCAATCAATTCTGTGTTCCTGGTATAAACCCAACTTGGTAATGGTTCTTTTTATATATTGTTGGATTTGGTTCTTTAGAAGTTTTACATTAATATTCATGAATCATATTGGCTCATAATTTTCCTTTCATATATTCAACTTTTCAGATTGGGTATCAAGGTTGTTCTAGCTCATGAAAGAAGTTTGGAGTATATTAACTCTTTATTCTCTGGAAGCATTTTTGTAATGTTAGAACATTTTCTTTGTCTATTTGATAGAATTCACTGATGTAACTATCTGGGCCTAAAATTTTCCACAGATACATGTATTTAACCATTGATTGAATTTCTTTAACAGTCATAGGGTTTTTAAGGCTTTCTATTTCTTTGAGTTACTTTAGTTATATTTTTCTAGGAATTAGTTCATTTCATCTAAGTTATCGAATATACTGGTATAAAGTTATTCACAGTATCTAAATTTGTAAACTGTTTACTTTTATAATAAGGTGTAATTTATATGTAGTGAAATGCACATATCTTAGATGTACAGTTCAGTTGGTTTTGACAAATACACATATTTGTGTAATCCATACTCATTTGAAGATAACAGAATATTTCTATGAGTTCAGAAAGCTCTCCTGTACCCCTTCCCACTCCCTGACCCCAAACAATCCTATTCTGATTCTGTCACTATAGACTAGTTTTGCCTATTCTAGATGTCACAGGAATGGAACTATATGATATGTACTCCTCATATTCATCCGTGTTGTTGTGTGTATCTGTAGTTAGTTCTTCTTCTTGTATGAATTATATGAATATAAAATTGTATGAATATACCATAGTTTGTTCATTTTCAAACCTAGGCTGTTTGTAGTTTAGGCTATTGTGACTAAAACTGCTGTGAAGATTTCTTGCATAAGCCCTTGTGGACATGTATTTTAATTTCTCATGGATAAATACCTAGGAATGAAATTAAATGGTCATAAGATAGTTTCTGTGATTAATTTTTTGAGAAACTGCCAGCTTCTAAATGAATGAATCATTTTATATTTCCACGAGCTGTGCATGGGAGTTTTGGTTGGCCCATGTCCTCAACATTGAGGCTTATCCAGCTTTTTCAGGTTAGCCATTCTAGTGCATGTGTAGTGGTATCTTATTATGCTTCTAATCTGAGTCTTCCGGATGACTAATGATGTTGAGCAACTTTTCATGTTTTTACTGGCCATTTATTATATTTTCCATTTATCTGTTCAAATCTTTGGTCCATGTTTTGTTGGGTTATTTGAATTTTATTCTTAAGCTAAAGGGGTTTTGTATCTATCTCAATACCAGTTTTCAGGTAGATCTATTCTGAATATTTTCTTCCTATCTATGACTTGCTTATTCATTTTTTATGGCATCTTTTGATGAGCAGTAGTTTTAAAATTTTTATGAAGTCTAGTTTATCAATTTTTTGCTTTATGGTTAATGCTTTGTACGTGCCCTAAGGAATCCTTTCATCCAAAGGTCATGTAACTATTTTCCTATATTTTCTTCTTGAAGCTATTTATAATTTTGTCTTGAAGCTGCTTTATAGTTCAGGCCTGTAATACATCTTGAATTAATTTTTGTTTATATATGAGGTAGGAGTATGGGTTCTTTTTCTTCCATACAGGTCAGTACCATTTGTTGAAAACACTTCCCTTTCTCCACCGAGTTGCTTTCCTGCCTCTATTGAAGTTATTTGACCATTTAACTGTGGGTCTGTTTCTGCACTCTTTATCCCATTGATCATTTGTCTCCTTTCACCACATTGTTTTCATTATTGAAGCTTTATAGTAAATTTAGACCCATGGAGTAAGTCCTCCAGATTTGTTTAAGGTCTTTTACATTTCCAGATAACTTAAAAATAGCTTGTCTCATCTGTAATACATGCTACTTGAAGTCTTAGTTTGTGCAATAAGACAAGAATTTTTTAAAATGTATGGTTACTAGAAAGGAAGATATAGAACTGCCTCTGTTCACAGGAGACATATTTTTTTTGCATCAAAAAAATGCCAAAAACTAAATAAATGCTCCTAAACTAATAAGTGAGTGGAAATGTCACAAAGTACAAGGCAATATTACAAAAATTATTGTGTTCTAGCAATGAAAAATTGGAATTCAAAATTTGTAAGAAAAATTACAATACCATTAAGTAAATCAAATACTTATGTATAAATAAAAGTAAATAAAATAAAATAAAAACAACTTCTCAATTTCTACCAGAAAAAGTCCTACTGAGATTTTGATTGGAATTATATTGATTATATAAACCAATTTGGAAGAACTGGCCATCTTAACAATATTGAATTTTTGTGTGTGTTAACTTCATAGATCTTTTCATTTATGTATTCTTTATCTCTGCAATATTTTATCATTTTGCTCTAGAGTTCTTTCATGTATTTTGCTAAATTTGTCTAAATATTTCATGTTTTTAAGTTATTTATAAAGTGGTATTTTAAATTTTTAAATGTTCAGGGTTTACTTGGTCATATACAGAAATACAAATGATTTATGTACACTGACCTTATTATAGATTCTTGGGGTTAACATTGGCATATAAAACCAGTTTTGTTCTTTTCAATCTGCCTGCCTTTTATAGCTTTTTCTTGCCTTGTTACACTGGTTAAGTCCTCCGGTAAAATGCTGAATAGAAATTGCTTGACAGTGGGCATCCTTATCTTGCTCCCACCTGAGAGGTGAAGCATTCTGTCTTTCATCCATTGCTGTACAGGATATAAGCTGTAGAGTTGGTTTTTTTTTTTTTCTTTCTTTTTTTTTAACCAATGCCTTTTAACAGGTTGGGGATGTTTTATTTTGTTTTTAATCTGCTGAAACTAAATTAAAATCCTCAAATGGTGTTAAATTTTGTCAAATTCTTTCCCCATATTTATTGGTTAATTATTAAATTGTTTTCTCCATTATTTGATTAGTATGATTAATTACATTGATTTTTTTGCATGTTGAACCACATTTTTATTTTGGGGACAAACCCCACTTGGTCATGATAAATTATCCTTTTTTATATATTACTATATTTCATTTGCTAACATTTTGTTAAGGATTCTGTATCTATGTTCATGAGGAATATTGGGTCATAATTTTATTTCAGTATCCTTTTTGATTTTTGTGTCAGTTGTTTATGCTGGCCTCATAAAAAGGACTTGGGAAGTGTTCCCTCCCTCTTTTTTTCTTTTTACAGAGTTTGTAGCCCATTAGTAGTATTTCTTTCTTAATTTTTGATAGACTTTACCAGTGAAGTGATTTGGTTTTGAGTTAATTTATGGGCAGTTTACAAATTGTGGATTCAGTTTCTCCAATAAGGATGGGGTGTGTTCCTCTGCTAGGGTTTCCATAAGGAAACACCACAAACTGACTTAGGCAACAGAAATTTAATTTCTTACAGTTCTAGAGACTAGAGGCCAGATCAAGGTGCTAGCAGATTTGATTTCTTCTGAGGCCTCTTTCCTTGGCTTGTAGATGATGCCTTCTCCCTGTGTCCTCATGTGGTTGTCCCTGTCTTATGTCATCTGTGTCCCAACTGCCTCTTTTTATAAGGAGACCAGTCATATTAGATTAGGTCCCCCACCCTAATGGCCTCATGTTACCTTAATTACTTCTTTAATGGTCCTATCACCAAATACATTATATTCTAAGGTACTGGGGGAGTAGGACTTTACCATGTGAGTTTGGTAGGGGGACGTAATTTAGCACATAACATGGAATTATTCAGGTTTGCACAAATGTGACTTTGCTAAACTGTCTTTTAAGGAGTGTTTCCTCTAAGTTGTGAAATTTATTGGCATAGGGTGTTCATAGTATTCTGTTATTATCCTTTTAATGTCTGAAGGATTTATAGTGATGTTCCCTCTTTCATTCCTGATGTTGAAAATTTGTGTTTTTGATCTCACTCTAAATATAGGTTTTGTTGGCAATTGGTCGTGACTCCTGTACAAGGAAAATAGGTTTGGAGAAGATTGGTGTCAAAATCAATGAGAAGTAAGTACACATGGGATCATTGCACTGTTGCTGCACAAAGCAAAATATTTCTCTAGATCACCTCTTGGAAATTTTTATTTAATTACTAAAATGCACAATTTTAATGCTTTAAGTTTATTTCACAATAAGTACTGTGCCAGCTCTGCAGTAATCAGTTTTTTTCATTAATGAATCAGTAACTCTTTGATATGTACCTTAAAAAACTGATACATTAAACAGTGATTTTAAAAAATAAATTGTGGAAATGTCTTCACCCACTGTCTTATTTAGAGTGAATTTTTATGTTGTTGGTCAGGCAAGGAGAAAAATTTCAAAGCTCTAAGTTGGACACTGGGGGAAATCTGGAGCTATTCTTTGCATCTAAAAAATGAGTGTGGTTTCACTAACAAGAAAGGTGTTTTTTTTTTTTTGAGCTACAGAACCTTTATGATTTCAGCCATTGGTCTTATAGACATTATTGATGTGGTGCCTCACTTCTTAGAGGGAGCTCTTTGCTCTATGTGTTTAGTCATTTTCTCTTGGGAAAGTTAGTGTTAGTCATCCAGAAGTACAGAATGAATCATGATGGATTTGTTTCCTTTCCAAAATCTAATAGGAATGGCAAAATACCAGTAAATGATGTGGAACAGACCAATGTGCCCTATGTTTATGCTGTTGGGGATATTCTGGAGGGTAAACTTGAGCTCACACCTGTTGCCATACAGGCAGGCAAGCTGCTGGCTCGAAGACTTTTTGCGGGCTGTTTAGAAAAGGTGAGTTTCCTACTTTTGAGATGACATCTAGATCAAAATTGTGATTAAAAATATCAGTACAGGGATCCCTGGGTGGTGCAGCGGTTTGGCGCCTGCCTTTGGCCCAGGGCGCGATCCTGGAGACCCGGGATCGAATCCCACGTCGGGCTCCCGGTGCATGGAGCCTGCTTCTCCCTCTGCCTGTGTCTCTGCCTCTCTCTCTCTCTCTCTCTCTCTCTCTCTCTGTGACTATCATTAAAAATAAAAATAAAAAAAAAGATCAGTACAACCAACACTTGTGTACTTGTTTTGTAAGTAAAGGGTTCATCACAGATAAATTAGTATTTACTGATGATTTTCAACAAATACTGAGTGCTGTATGCAAGATATCATGGTAGGTGACATACAAAGGATTGGTGTGGTTCTAGTGCCAAGGGGCTTCCCAGCTGAGTAGAGGATCATGAGTAAGTTAGGACAAGGGACAGTTAGTTGTAACCAGTTGGTCTGGTAAGGCATCTGGCATGGCGATGTTTATAGCAGTAATGTCCACAATAGCCAAACTGTGGAAGGAGCCTCGGTGTCCATTGAAAGGTGAATGGATAAAGAAGATGTGGTTTATGTATACAATGGAATATTACTCAGCCATTAGAAACGACAAATACCCACCATTTGCTTCGATGTGGATGGAACTGGAAGGTATTATGCCGAGTGAAATAAGTCAGAGAAGGGCAAACATTATATGGTCTCATTCATTTGGGGAATATAAAAAATAGTGAAAGGGAATAAAGGGGAAAGGAGAGAAAATGAGTGGGAAATATCAGAGAGGGAGACAGAATATGAGAGACTCCTAACTCTGGGAAACAAACAAGGGGTGGTAGAAAGGGAGGTGGGCGGGGGCTGGGGGTGACTGGGTGATGGGCACTGAGGGGGGCACTTGATGGGATGAGCACTGGGTGTTATGCTATATGTTGGCAAATTGAACTCCAATAAAAAATAAATTAATTAAAAAAAAAAAGGCATCCGGGATGGATGGTTGCTGGCCCTGCCTGTGGTGTGTGAACCTGGTCAGGTTGTTTTAAGTCTCTGTGCCTCAGTTTCACCTCTGCCAGGTGTGAAGGTGATGCCATCTCCTGCACCTTTCATTGTCTTCAAAGATGTGAGACTGGCTTTGTAGGTTGAGTAATCAAAACTGAGCACAGGGCTTTTCTGGTAAGTCTATAATGCAGACACAAGCACAGAGCTCAGTGGGGCTTGGTTCGCTCCAGGACTGTGAGCAGTCTGTTAGAGTTCTCAACTGGGGACATCATGCTGTACTCCATGAGAGCACTGTGGACATGTGGAAGTTTTGCCAGATGAAGGGCCCGTGTAGGGGTGAGGAATGCCAAATGTTTTGTCTACAAAGAATTGTTCCTTCTACAATACTTAGAGCATTTGGGGTGTGTGCAAGCATAATACTTGGGGATAAAGGATTCAACTGGGAATGAGACTATAAAATTCACTTGGTGCCAGCCCATCAAAAATCTCTTATGCCACAGTAAAGAATTAGAATGGCCTTCTCCAGGCAGTGGGAACTATTGAAGACCTTTATTTCTTCCATCTTTCTATTTAGAAAGATGTCAAACCACAGGAAAAATAATAAAAATAATCACCCATGTTACCCTTTCAACCACATTCTCCAGTTATTAATGTTTTGCCATTTGGCTCTCTCTCCTTTTCTGAGTATGTATGTGTACCATGCATGTACTACTTTTCCCAGAGCTTTTTGAGGTAAGTGGCAGGCATCAATGACATTTGCCCCTATATACTTCAGCAGGCATCTCCTGAGAATGAGGATCTTCTTCCATAACCACAGTTTCATTGTTCTATCTGAAAAATTCAATAAAAATGTGATACTATTCAATTTCCTCAGATTTCTGTTAAGTGTGTGCACATGCACGGGTTTGATCCACGTGGTACATTTAGCTCTTCTGACTCTTAAGTCTCTCTCTCTCTTTTTTTTTTAAAGATTTAATTTATTTATTCATTAGAGACACAGAGAGAGAGAAAGAGAGAGGCAGAGACATAGGCAGAGGGAGAAGCAGGCTCCATTCCAGCAGGGAGCCTGATGTGGGACTGGATCCCCGGTCTCCAGGACCACACTCTGGGCCGAAGGCAGCGCTAAACCGCTGAGCCACCGGGGCTGCCCTTAAGTCTCTTTTTTTTTTTTTTTAATTTTTATTTATTTATGATAGTCACACAGAATGAGAGAGAGAGAGAGAGAGAGGCAGAGACACAGGCAGAGGGAGAAGCAGGCTCCAGGCACCGGGAGCCCGACGTGGGATTCGATCCCGGGTCTCCAGGATCGCGCCCTGGGCCAAAGGCAGGCGCCAAACCGCTGCGCCACCCAGGGATCCCCCCTTAAGTCTCTTTTAATCTGAAATGGGTCCCCTGCCTTTATTTACCTGCTTGTTTTATTTTTGTGTGACTTTGATTTTTGGTGAGTCCAGGCAACTTTCCTTGTAGAATGTCTCCTATTCTGGGTTTCTCTGATTGTTTTGCATGATTAGGTTCAGGTGACATGTTTTAAGTACATAGTCTTCTTAAAGGATGCTGCATTCTGCTTATTTTATTACCCTAGGTGCCTTGTAAGGTCATGAAGGAAGACCTTGAACATATATGGAGGCATTGCTGGGGGTGGGCGGCATCAAAGGGTGGGCCCAGGGTGCTGAACATACAGTAGTAGGGCAATGCAGTTAGCACATCAGGGTGCATGGAGGCAGAGTAGTTGCCTAATGCTTTAAGAAGTGAATCAAGGTGGCAGTGAGGCAGAGAGATCTGAAGATGCAGCAGTGTGTTTAGGGTATGAAGAAAGATCTTAAAGGCATAGAACTAGAAGGAAGGCTATGGGGAGGGCTAGATGAAGCCAACTTCAGGTGGGGAGATGGCTTAAGATGTGGAGAAAATGTTTTAGGTGAAAGGAAGGAACATTGAGGAATTTCCTATTGATTATTCTTAATTGATAGGGAACGGAAGACAGAGGCATCTGTTGAGAATGAGGCTTCCTCTGTAATAAGCCATGGGTCAGAGGGTCAGCTGCTGGTCAGTACAGCTGACCCTTGAACATCTTGGGTTTGAACTGTGGGTCCAGTTACATGTGGATTCAGTAAACACGATACAGTGTTATAAATGTATTCTCTCTTCTTTATGATTTTCTTAGTAACATTTTCTTTTCTCTATTTTATTGTGAGAATATAATATACAATATGTATAACTTAAAAATATGTGTTAAATCAACTGTTTCCGTCAGTGGTGGGCCATTAAGGTTTTTTTGGCAGGTCAAAAGTTGTATATGGATATTTGACTGCATGGGGGGTCAGCACCCCAACCCCCACATTGTTCAAGGGTCAACTGTAAAAGGATTGATGAGTATTTGTGGGCCTAACAGAAGTCAGAAAATACTAAGGTGATCCCTATGGTTATGTGATTTTTTTTTTCTAGCCATGTTGGAAAAAAGAAAAATGCTTGGCTTCCCTACGATTTGCAGGTTAGCAAATGTGACGTGGTATTAGAGCATCTAAGTTCAAGATTCTAGGCTGATGTATGTTGTACATAATCCACATCATTGATGTAGGGATACCTGGTGGTGCCTGGCTTTGTTTTTCTTTGGGGTAACAACAAATGGAAACTCCCACTAGGCAGACTGAGAGGGTTTCTTTCTTTCTTTTTTTTTTTAATTTACTTATGATAGGCACACAGTGCGAGAGAGAGAGAGAGAGAGGCAGAGACACAGGCAGAGGAGAAGCAGGCTCCATGCACCGGGAGCCCGACGTGGGATTTGATCCCGGGTCTCCAGGATCGCGCCCTGGGCCAAAGGCAGGCGTTAAACCACGGCGCCACCCAGGGATCCCACTGAGAGGGTTTCTTACAAGGATCCTACAATTTAGGGAGTTGAAACACGTAGTGACTTCGAACAAGAGCCAAGCTAGGGCTGGGCCATCCTTCTTTTAGAGCTAGAACTGTGTCGGGTATGGCTGACCTGGGCCCTGGTACACAAAGCGGTTTGCAGGGGGCTCTTCGGTTAGTCTGACGTGACCACAGCTCCACAGGTGCATTTCTTCTGGTTCCGCTACCACTGGGGGATTTTTCCTCTGCTTCTAGCTCATTTTCCTATAAATGGGAGAATTTGATTGATGTAGTTCACCTTTTTCTGCATAGATGTCTGGCCAGCTTGTGCATTAGCTGTGGGTTAGAGGTCACCCTTGACGTAATCACCTACACCCTGGTGGCAGGGTTGGGGGACATGTGGGCAGTGGCAGCCCTTCTGGGGCTGTGGATGGGCAGGCCTGGTGACCCTCCTCTCTGGGTGCCCCCTCCACCCTTTCTCTGCTCCCGCCTGCTGCCGTTTTAGTGATGCTTGCCCCCGTGTGCTCCAGTTCTCCAGGCCATCACAAAGACCCTCCCTTCCAGCCAAGGGTGCCACCTGTGCTCACACTCACTTTCCCACGGGCAGGTGCATAGAGCTGCCAGAAGCCACAAATAGGGTCAGGGCCTCAGCCTCCCGGCGTGTCCACTCATGCTCTGCCTTAGCCTGATACAGGCTTTGTGGGAGTTCTGTCAGAACCCCAGGACTTAGGAGATCCTGGCCCCTCTGTTAGCCCCCTTCTACACATGTCATCTCCCCTTGGTGGTCCAGGGCAGACACCCGGTCCAGCGCTGTTAAACTGCTTCTTCGCGCATCTCTGTGGCACACAGTTATGTGAATGGCCAAGAGTGGTCTCGGCTTCCAATGAAATGGCATAGTTCTTGGTCACCTAGTAGAAGTACTCCAGGGGAGCAGGGTCTGGAATCATGGAGATGGAAAGAAAACATTTTAGAGAGTGTCTGTTGAGGCAAAAAGGGGCACCATCTCTGCCTCTCTGCTCAGTTTTAGAATGGAAGTCAGGGGCAGCCCGGGTGGCTCAGCAGTTTAGCGCCACCTTCGGCCTGGGGTGTGATCCTGGGCACCTAGGATTGAGTCCCGCGTTGGGCTCCCCCCACAGGAGCCTGTTTCTCCCTTTGCCTGTGTCTCTGCCTCTCTCTATGTGTGTGTCTCTCATGAATAAATAAATAAAATCTTAAAAAAAAAAAAAAAGAATGGAAGTCAGGCTGGGGCTCTAGGAGAGCTGGTCCTGCTGTGGGCCACTCACTGCCCAGGGTGTGATCTCTGCCCTGGAGTTGGGCTCACCCCATACTTTGAGTGTAACTACATATTTCCCTAAAGCAGTAAAATGGAAGAATCAGTCACACTGAACCAGACTTACTTTCTTTTTATAAATATACTTAAATGTAGAGTTTTGCTGTGAAAAGTGTCACAAAATAAGCAGATGTAATTTGTTTATCTTTCAGTGTGATTATGTAAATGTTCCAACTACAGTGTTTACTCCTTTGGAATATGGCTGCTGTGGATTATCTGAAGAGAAAGCTATTGAAATGTATAAAAAGGAGAATCTCGAAGTAAGATTGTGTTTTGCTGCTTACTTTTTCATTTCTCATCAACTGGCTTTGCAGACACTTTTTGTTTTGTAAGGTACTGTAATGGTTAGATTGTAGGAAATCCTATTCCTATTTTAGGAAAATTAGAAATTAAGTGATTTAAGCCCTATCTCTTTAGCTAATAATAATAATACAGTTGGGGAAAGGGGAACAAATGATGTATGCACTAGGACTTTTGAGTTACAAGTGGTAAATGTCTAGTTGAGTAAGCTTTTATAAGAAGGTGCTTATAAGACTTTCTGGAATTCAGGAGTATATCAAGGCTTTAGGAAAGGATGAGAACCAGGAGCTGCAAGATCATCTCAGTTCATGTATGCGTGCAGCTCATTCTTCTGTTTCTGCACACAGACTTTGCCTCTGGAATGCACATAGCAGCCAAAATAGGCCCTTTTTTCTACAAACGAGTTTATCTAATAATTCTGGTCTTAGGAGGACTTGCTACCTCTCAGTCTCAATTCTAAATTATGGAAGAGGATATCTGATTGGTCCGAGCTGGATCAGCCATCCACCCACTTCCATTCAGCATGGCCAGAGCCAGGCTCCTGTCACATCAACATGGTCCTGGGGAGCCTGCATTGTTAAGGGGCTCAGGGTGGGGAGGGTGGGCATTTCCCAAGGTTGTCACCCTGTTGCGGGCTGTGGGCTGTCAGATTCCCAAAAAGATTTCCTTTACACACATTTATTTCCACCTCTCCTTTACCCCTGTCCCATCTCTTCTCGTATTACATTGTTAAGTATTGTCTTACATTATAATTTGATGGGTAGTTTGAGTGGCTTTTTCTGCATACCCTTCCAACATAGGAGGGACAGAGAGAAATAAAAAGAGTTGGAGGGTTATTAGTACTTGATGTTTTCAGCACAAGAGGATTGTATTCCTCTCCCTTGACATCACGTCAATTACTGGCATTTTCTTGAAATCATAGTACTAGTTAAATGGCCTGATGACTAACTGAAGCTCTTATTACATTCCATTAGTGGGAAAACTCATAATTAAAACTTTATGATGTTATTTTAGATGATTGTTTTCGATGAGAAATGTTTTAGAAGACATGACTTGATCAGGGTTTACAATTAATTCTTTGTAATAATGAGCCATTTTTTTTTCTCCTGCAGTGATGAACTTTTACTTGAGTCTTGGAAAATTGATGGTAACAGTTATGAATTTAACACTTAGTTCTAAATCTTTTGAAATTAATGAGAAATTAAGATAGAAAGGCAGGGCACATGAGAGGAAGCCTGTAGAAAACTATACCCCAGACATAGGAATATCTTTATAGGAAAAAAGTCCCCTAGGTTTGTGGGATTACTTTAGGGTCTTCTTCCTAAGCCTCACTGCAGATCAACTAACCTTTTCTTATATATTGTTATAATATATTTATTGTGTTTAACAGGAGCAGAAATTTGATTTATTGTTATTTTTAAAAATTCCTATTAAAAAGAGATTTGAGGAAGCCTCTCAAAAATACATATATAATATTTTTTCAAAGTGAAGAAATCAAGGTGGGAAGAAAATGTGGGTAGGAAAAATTATGATTGGTGTTAGAAGAGAGGTGAATTTGGTGGTTCACAGAATTCATGCCGTAAAGTCACATAGATTTGCTTTAGAATTAACCTAAAAATCTTCCTCCATGTGTCCTACTACCTGGAGGAGGGAGAACTGAGAGAGATTTCCCAAGTTTCTACAAAAGGGGCATGGAGATACGGTGAAAAATGGCCTTAAAATATCCCCTTAGTGAATATGATGATGGGTTTTATAGAATTATTTCTTATTAGATCCTGAAGTGCAGTCCTGCAGCATAATGCCACAGCACAGTAAAATAAAAAGGTAGTTCCTGAAGGGGCTGAAATGTAGGGCTGTGCTGATTTGCTGCTCATTGCTGGCCTGACTTAATACAAAATTGTTGAGTATCTATCTAGCACCAAGGTTTTAACTTGTTTTAATATGAATTCCTTTGTGAATCTAATGAGATTTTGGGTACCCAGTAAGACCCTCTCTCCATGCTGGTGCAACTGAAAGCTATCCTTAATCCCTCCTTGTTGGTCAACATCAATGGTCAGCTTACCAGGAAGTGCTATCACTTTTACCCCCAGAGTATGTTATGTGTGTACCTACTTATTTCCATCCCTGCCCTCCTCGTCCCATGTCCACCATCATCTCTTGCCTGTAGCCTTCCTCCTCATCTCCCTTGCATTTGCTCTTAGCCCACTCCCATCTGGTCATCACACATCAGCCAGAGGAACTTTTAAAAATACACACCAGTTATGCCACTTCCCAGCATAAAGCTTTTCAGTGATTTCCCAGGGCTCAGTACGATCTGAACTCCTCACTGTTTGTGAGAAGAGGCATCGTGTAATCAAGCCATTCATGCTGCTGTATGTCCTGCTTATAGTAGTCCAGTCACACTGGTCTAATGTTCGTTCTAAAAACTCCCCATGTTCTTTCCTGTGGCACAGTCTGTGGACTTGTAGTTTCCTTTGCTTGTTGGAAAGCAAAGGAAAAGGCCAGGCTAAACAGCCCTGCCAACACTTGGAGAAATGTCACCCAAAGGAGACAGATAAAAAGAAACCGTGTGTTCTTCCCTGGTGCAGTGATTCCATGCCTGATACTGCCCTTAGGAGAAGAGATTGAGATGAGAAAGAGACACCAGGATTTCTCCTGAGTAAACAATCCTAGGCTCTCTTCCTGGTGAATACATGTTCCATGGAAGTGGGGAGCAGGAGAGTAACACCTGCACAGATTGTTAAGGTCACATTTGAGAATCAAACCACTGAACTACCCTGAACTACCAAATACGTTGGAATCAAAAGAAGAAGATGACTGAGAAGAAAGTTAGTTACATAAGAAAAGTTGAGAGAAAGATGATAGGGGCTCTGGGGTGGCCCAGTCAGTTAAATGTCCGACTCCTAATTTTTGCTCAGGTCATCATCTTAGAGTCATGAGATCAAGCTCAGCATGGAGCTTAACATTTTCTCTCTCTCTCCTTCTTCCTCTGCCCCTCCCCTTCTCACTTTCCCTCTCTAAAAAAAAGAGGAGGAGGAAGAGGAAGAAGAAAAGGAAGAGGAGAAAGGGGATGAAAAAAAAAGAGGAAGAAGAAAAAAAAGGAAGGGGATGAAAAAGAAGAGAAGAGGAGGAAGAGGAAAAGAAGGAGAAGAGGAAGGAGGAGAAGGAGGGGAAGGAGGAAGGGTAGGCAAGGATGATCCAATATAAATATAACTCATACCCTGCAGTGAAAAATCTAACAAGTGGTACAGAAGTGGTATTCTGAGATATAGTAGAAGAAAACACCTAATATTAAAGAATAACTTACCATTTTCTAAAAGAAACCAGTGACACAGACACATTCTAGTTAAGCTAGTTATTCATAAGGGCAATGAACCAGCCTGGCCCCAGGCTTTTTCATAATAACATTCAGTGCCAAAGACAATAGAATGATGTCAATAAACTTCTGAGGGAAAGGGATCTGCCTTTAAAAATAATCTCTGAAGGATAGAGGGATAGTAAAGGAGACAAAATAGTGATGACATTTTGGGGAAAAAAACCCAAATAGATGAGTGATAAGTAACCCAACGGATTAAAAAAAAAAAGATTATAAACTGGTAAGGGAAAAGTCAAGAAACCAACTTGGCTTTACATCAGAGTCCACAAAGGCTCAAAAATTGGTAACACCATGTACATCTGGAGGTGAGGTAGGAGGCCAGCTGACAATCAAGCAAAGATCCTTTAAGAAACAGTGAGAGTGTCACCTCTTGACACTCTCCATACACTGGCAAATATTTAGAAGGTTATTTTCTGGAGATGGTTAAAACCAAAGACCTCTTGACTAGGGAGCAGTGTTATCAAGTGAAGGCGGGATTCAGCACAATACTCAAGTTAAGCAAATATATACTGAATCTTTACCCTTCTTCCACTGAGTTCCCAGAACTCTAGCAACCGGCCCTTTACCCTTCTCTGGCCAGAGGTTGGTTAGAGTCTGATTTCTCAGCGGACTCTGACAAGCCCCAAAACACCTAAAGATACTGATAAAGGGTCCCCAAATAAACTTCAAGATTAGATAATGGGACAGTGAAACTCAAATTCAATAAGCTATGAAAATGAACTTTCAAACTTTGGAAAAACAACATTGAGGCATAATTTACATATAACAAGATGAAGATTGTGTGTAGTTTTATGAGTTGAAACACTTGTGAAAACCATCATTAGAATCAAGATTAAGAACAGTTTCATCACCCTCCCCAAATTAAACATCTTTTAAATTCCCAACATTTAAAAATAAATAAACAAACAAATAAATCCCCAACATTTAACATGAGCAGACAATCGAAGGACTCAAAAGAAACAGACTGTGTACATGTGTAAGAAATAATGTATTTACACTCGTGAACAGAAAATAGGACGTACCTTCAGAAGTAACAGAGAAACAACAGATACCTGTTGGAAATGCAAAATATGGTATCAGAAATTAAAAACCCATTGGATGAGCATTTATCCCAGAGAAATGAAGACTTAGTTTCATTTCTATGTATACATGAATGGGAATACTACCCAACAATAAAGATGGATGAACAGGCGTGATATTATGGAAAATGGTGAAGTAGGAAGCTCCAGGAATCTATCCCTTCACTAAGACAACAAACTGAGCTGGCAGGAAGTGTTTGAAGCAGTTCTTCTAGAACTCTGGAATCTAGTTGAGTATTTTCAGCGCCCAGAGGAGAGCTAGAGGAGGAGGCTGGAAGACTATGGTGGATTTCCATGTTTCGGTAATGGCCAATGTCCCACGGACCCAGCACTGTGGTGTGCAGTTGGCAGGTTGGTGGTCTCTGTTCCTGGTGCAGCTTGCTGGTGCCAGACTGGGCAGCAAGGACTTTGTCCTCCAGAAATTGGGGCAGTGTTTTGACTGCCGATCCCTGCTTCTGATTGCTGAGAAATTGGCACCAGCCTCCATAAACTGAAGTGGCTTCCC